CAAGGACAGAGCTGCTACAGTGTTCTGTAGTGCACAGCCATTGTTGGACTACCCAGCCCCTCTCAGGTCAGTCACCTGAGCAATCCCCTTTTATAATACATATACACTCAATGGCTCTGCTCCCCTCAAGAACCCTGCCTAGTACACAATCTATGACAGGTGTTTTACTACAGCAACAAAAAGCCAGCACTGCCCTTAACTGAGTCCACATGACCCTTCAGCTTCTGCACGGTGTGCCGTGCAACCTTCTCACCCTGGCGTGAGAGCAGTCAGCTTCATGGCATCACACTCTGCGCAGCACCCAGACTCTTCTCTCCCCTTAGACTCCACCACCTGCTCAATGTGCCTTTGTGCTATGAGGCCCATTCGCCACTTGAAAAGATCTGAGCCTGTGCTGATTCACGACCTCAGTTAACCCAGCTTCGGTCACGGTCATCCCATCTCAGTTGGCATTGTCTCAGTTCCTAGGGTGGCTTCCAGCGGAAGGCCAAAGCTTTGGAGTCATTTTGGAGTCCCCTCTTCTTCTCAATAACAGGGTAACCACTCAATTACATAAACCAGAACTGCCCCTGGACAAATAAAGATGTATGGCCTATCCATTAACCCATATTCAACCCATCAGCAAACCCAGTTCGTTCTATTTTTAAAAACATAGCCAGCATCCGGCCATTTCTCACCACCTCCTCCACCGTCCTCCTAGTCCAGGCGTTCGTTGTGTCCTGCTTTATTTTTGCAAAGGCTCTTTAATTGGTCTCCCCACTTCCACCCTTGCCTCCCACCCCCAAATCTGTTCTCTCAGCATCCAGAGCAAGTCCCCTGCAACACAAACAAGAACATGTTGGCCCTAGAGCTCTCCATACTCTTGGCTCGAGTTTGGATTAGTGTTCCCTGAAGGTTCATATAGAAGAAAAGAAGACTTGGTCCCCAAGGTGGTACTGTGGCCCTTTATGAGGTGGAACATTGTGGAAGGTCCTTAGGTCTTTGGAGCTTTGCCCTTGAGGGGACTTGTAGGACCCTGGTGGTCTTTCCCTTTTAGCGTCTGGCTGTGAGGTGAGTTATTTGCTCTGTCACGTTCTTTTTATACTTGCCACCCAGCCCTCCATCCAAGGCCCAGCTAAACGGGTCCACCTCATCTTAGACTACGACCTAAATCGTCATACCCTGCCTATCCCCACCATGACCTGCTCCCAATCCTAAGACCTACCATGTAGCCCAGGCAAGCCTTGGCTACCTTGGTCTCCCAAGTGCTAAGATTGCAAGAATGAACCACCATGGCTGGCAAAGCTTTTCTTCCTTTGTAAGTTAAGTAGCTCGGGAGTTCTCTTATGGTAATGTGAAGATGGTTAATAGTTTCCCGATTCATTCAGAAGGAAAGCTGACGTCTGCCTATAGCAGTGATCTGCTCCCCACCCCACCCCCACCTCCCTGCTCCCATCTGTCTGCACGACTCCCCAATACTTCTCACTCCACACACGCTCCACTCATCCTCTACGGATACGTCAAGCACATCCCCACTGTGTCTGTCTTCCTGGCCTGTGTCTTTGTTGCTCCTTCTGGCTGGAACTCCTCCCCAGGTAGCCAGCCACAGGGCTTCTCCCCTCATTTCTCTCAGGTTAGATGTCCCTGTCCCCCTAACACCACCTCCAGTTTATGCCAGACCCTCTTTGCTTTAAGGTGACAAACGATGTTTTATAAAAATGGCCATTGCAACATATATTTTCCCATCAGCTCTTCAAGAACCATTCCCCAATTCAAAAGGGATGTGAGCTTCCTCCCCTAGAACAGGGACGGCACATGGTGACATGGCAGGCTTTGTGGCACACACCTTTACTCCCAGCACTCAAAGGTAGAGGCAGGCAGGCAGTTCTCAGTGAGTTCCAGGCCAGTCAGGGCTATAGAGTGAGACGCTGTCTCAAAAAATAAAAAGAGAGAGAAAGGAAAACGGCAGCATAGGTAGCAATGCTGCCGGACTGGCAAACTCCAGTAACCTGTGATTCAGCCTCTGCCTCGCTCAGCTTCCTCAACACTGACCCTATCAAGCTGGGTGTGATGGCACATACTTGTAATCCCAGTACTTGGCTAAGGCCGGAGTATAAACTCAAAGCCAGCCTGGGTTGACTAGTAAGACACTGTGTCAAACAACAAAAAGTATACCATGTCCCAGATGCTCACATAGATCATACAGACCACAAGGGCTGACGCATAAGGAAAGGAAAGGGAGATGCCACCCAGCAGATAACACTCACCACCGGGTGGGTGACTGATAAGGCCTTCAGACGATGCCAGGGTCCAGCCTTGCAGTCTCCCCGCTAAAGCCCCAGACATCTGAAGGACAGAAAAAGCCATCCTCTGTACACCTGTGCTGTGCCTTCCCCAAACCCAGGCCCACAGAGTCCGTAAATGTTGTCTCGGCTAGTGACGTAGTCATAGGAACCAACCACCTCATTCAGTGTCCTCTACAGCATCCAGTGTGAGATGGGTTGATGGACTTGTTTGTCCGTCGTCTGTCTCTACCCTAGAGAATCAGGGACTATCCTGGCATGATGGTGCACACCTACAGTTCCAGCCCTGGGGAGGCTAAGGCAGCAGAACTGGAACAAGGCTAGCCTCAGCTACACAGTGATTCTAGACTACATGAGATTCTATCTCCAAATAAGCAAAGAAAACAAAATAAATGAAAGGACACTGGCCTGTTTTCTTTTTCTAGCCTTAGTATCTAGAAAAGCCCCTAGTATTCCATGGGGACTTGAGAAATATTTGTTGAACAAATGAATCCCTGCTAATTAAAGAAAACTGCTCCTTACTATAATTCGCACACCTTCTGCTGAGGCATGTGACCTTTTCCTGAAGAAAGTGTTCTCTGGTGTGTTTTGGACTAGCTCCCTGTTAAAAAAATATCTCTTGTCAGCCATCTGGAAAATGATAAAGTTGGATCCATAACTCCCACTATAGCCCAGGAAATAGTCCAAACAGATCAAAGATTTGTATGCCATAAAATGAAGCCATTACAGCCCTAGAAAAATGCACAGCAGAATTCTGATGTAACCTTGGTGTCAAAAGGCCTTTCTGCCTATGGCTTGACCTCCAACAGCAGCCATAGAAGAAAAAGATGGGTCAAATCCCACAACATAAAACTTCTGCATGGGGAAAAAGACCATTCATCGTGAGTGAAAGTCAAAGCTAAATGATACTCTAGGAGGAAAAGAATCAACTTTAATCACAAAGGGATGAACTTCCCGGTACATTCAAGCATGCACGTAAACAAAACACTCTAAAATATCAAACAGAAAAAGGACCAAGAAATTGGGCAGTAACTGGATGTTAGTCTGCACCCTAAAACAGCTACAAATGGCTCTTGATAAGACAAGACATCCAGCCTTCCTCTCACACAGTGAGACAAGTGTCAAATAAAACGACACTGAAAAACTATTTCCCTCCTATCAGATGGGCAGAGAGCCAAAACCACAGCAATACAATGTTGGCACAGTGGCAAGGACATGGGTACATGCACAAACTGCAAATGAGTACCATCTTGTAGGGTAATCAAGCCCTATTCACCAATGTACAACACCCAGCAACTTACACCACCAAAGGCCAGCCTTCTTCATATACATATACACATACGTACATACATATATACATATATGTTTTTAACAGGATCTGTACAATTCCTAGAAATTCAGCAGAGGTGCTAAGGGTGTAGTACAATGATAGTGTTTGCCAATCGTAGGCACGGCCCTGGGTTCCATCCACAGCACAGGAAATTGAAGGGGTGAAGGCGGAAATAGGCAGAAAAACAGGCCAATAACCTGTGGAAAATGGGCACTCGGGCAGTTTACAGAAAAGGGAACCACAGATTGCCCATAATGTATGACACAGTTAGCACTGACAATTGCATTTCTGGGAATTTATCCTGAAGACAGGATTGTATTTATGTGAAATGACACATATATAAAGTTACTCATTGTTGCATTCTCTACATAGTAGCAAAACATTGGAAGTCATATAAGCGTCTGTCACTGGAAAAGTGATAGCCTAAAGTATGGTGCCTCCAACCAACACTAGATAGGGCTTTAGTTTTTATAATATTATCCATTTTATTATATTCATTCATTCATTCTAGAGTGTGTGTGTGTGTGTGTGTGCGCGCGCACGCGTGTACTCACGTGCATGCATGTAAGAACATGCCACACCATGCCTGTGGAAAGCAGGGAACAACTTGAGGGAGTCAGTTCTCTTCTTTCACCCCGGGGTTCCAGGGACTGAGCTCAGCTATGCAGACTTGATACGAAAGGCCCTTCCAAGCTGAGCCATCTCGCTGGCCCTGATATGTACTGTTAGAAGGAACATTCAGGGGAGGTGACTCAGCAGCTAAGAATGTGTGTACTACAGTGATGGCACACACCTTTAATCCCAGCACTCAGAGGCAGGTGGATCTCTGTGAGTTCGAGGCCAGCCTGGTCTACAGATCAAGTTCCAGGACAGGCTCCAAAGCAACAGAGAAACCCTGTCTCAAAAAACCCGAAAACTAACAACCAAAATAGAATAGAATGTGTACTGCTTTTGCACAGGACCCAAGTCTGATTCCCAACGCACTTGTCAGCTGGCTCACTCCAGCTCCAGGGGATGTAACACCCTCATTTGGCCTCTTCAGGTGCCTGCACACATGTGATACACACACAAACACACACACACACACACGCATAATTTTTTTTAAAGAATACACATATTGTGGTGTGGTAGTGGCACATGCCTTTAATTCCCTGCACTCGGGAGACAAAGGCAAGAGGTAGACGAATCTCTGTGAGTTCAAGGCCAGTCTGGCCTACAGAGTGAGTGCCAGGACAGCCAAGGCTACAATGAAAAACCCTACCTCAAAAAACAACAAAAAAACACACACATTAATTTTACCAAAAAAGCCAATTTTATTTGCATCCTATGAGAGTTCCATCTATCTTGTGAAATAAAATCCTCTTTCTTGTGGGGGAGAACGCTAACACTGGCTCACTATGGAGGAGAGACTGGGCAGATGAGGAACCAATTTGGAGGTACTACATTTCTTCACTATATTATTATAAATATTCTAAAAACAACTTCTTGGAATGCCAGATACATAATTTGCAGCACCCGATACACTTCTTTGTTCTAAAAGTAGGTCCTTATCAGAATGCATGTGTTCTGAGAAGGGTCAGAACCTGCGGGCCTCGGTTTTTGTTTTGGTTTTTTAATCTCTGAGAACCCATCAGTATGGTCCCATTGCCCTGCCTTGGAGACCTCTGAGTGCACCACACTGGTTACAAGTGCTCACAGTTACTGTTACTGAAAATGCCCCGAGGTCATGCCCTCTGTGTCAGTCACGTGTGATCACTGGTCCCTTGCTCCAGGTGGCACTTCTAGGTGCCACTCACACTCCAGAACCCATTATACCAGACTGTAGCCGGATTTCTAGGGAACCCGGATCTTCATCTTCTTTCTGTTTCTTGTTAGAAGAACAAGGTAGACCTTGTTACCCTCACTTCCTTATTCCTTTCTCCCACAGCCACCTTCAATACATCACCTGTCCTAGAAACCCTGTCCCATTCTATGCTTCGAGGAGCCAGTCTGTGACATCCATAAAATGAGTCACACTGCTGGGCTCAATAGTAGATTTCTAGCCAGGTGGTGGTGGCGCTCGCCTTTAATTCCAGCACTCGGGAGGCAGAAGCAGATGGATCTCTGTGAGTTCGAGGCCAGCCTGGTCTACAAGAGCTAGTTCCAGGACAGGCCCCAAAGCTACAGAGAAACCCTGTCTCGAAAAACCAATAAATAAATAAAAATAGTAGATTTCTTTCTCCAAAATGAACCCCCAGGATGACAGTCACCTAAAATCAGCATCAGCCAGCGCTGCTTCCGTGTGTTGCCAGAACACTAACCCAAAGCTGGCATTGTTCAATAGACTCAAAACATGTCAGAACTCACAGGTCCGGTCCCCACCACCGACAGACCCAAGGCTTCAGAGCCACCACTACCACCAGGACTAATCCCCAGGTCAAGCCTGGACACATTGGCTGAACTGCCTGACAACTGGCTGAGCAGGTCAGGCTTGACTAGCAGGGTTGAGATGAGGTTGGGATCAGAAAGTCAAGAGTGGATGTCCAAGCTGAATGTGGTGGGTATGTGACTGTAATCTCAGCAACTGGGAGCCTGAGGTGGGGGGGGGGGATAGGAATTCAAGATCACTCTGGACTACTGAGATCCTACCTCAATTGTGCTCAGTGGTTGAGAACTTGTTGCTCTTGCAGAGCACTGGAATAACACTCATACACATCAAATAAAAATAAAATACTGAAAATAGGGCGGGTGGTGGTGGTTCATGCCTTTAATAACAGCATTTGGGAGGAAGAGGCAGACAGATCTTCTTGAGTTCAAGGCCAGCCTGGTCTACAAAGCGAGTTCCAGAACAGTTAGGATTGTTACATGGAGAAACCCTGTCTAAAAAAGCCAAAATAAAATAAAATAAAATACTAAAAGTAAATTGAGGGGCTGGAGAGATGGCTCAGTGATTAAGAGCACTTGTTGCTCTTGCAGAGGACCTGGATTCTCTTCTCAGCACCCACATGGGGCTCGTAATTGTAACTCTACCTCCAGGGGATTCAATGCTCTCTTCTGGCCTCCGCTGCACCAGGAGTGCAAGCAGTGTATAGACATACATTCAGGCAAAACACCACACACATACGATTTTATATATAAAAAAAATGAAAGAGGGGTGGGTGGTTTGAATGAGAATGGCCACCATGGGCTCAAACATTTAAATGCTTGGTCCACGGTTGGTAGATCAGTTTAGCAAGGATTAGCAGCAGGTCTGGCCTTGTTGGAAGAAGTGTGTCACTGGGGGTGGGCTTTTGGCCCATGACGCTTTGTTCTCTCTCTCTCTCTCTCTCTCTCTCTCTCTCTCTCTCTCTCTCTCTCTCTCTCAAGTTCACAGCTACTGAACCAGCATCATGCTTGCCTCTCTGCCTGCTGCCATGTTCCCCACCATGATGGTCATGGACTTACCCTCTGAAACTGTAAGGTCCAATAAACTCTTTCTTCTTTGTGTGGGGGGGTGGGGTTCAAAACAGGGTTTCTCTATAGCCTGTCCTGGAACTCACTCTGTAGACCAGGCTGGCCTTGAACTCACAGATATCCACCTGTCTCTGCCTCACCAAGTGCTAGATTAAAGGCATGTGCCACCACGGCCCAGCATAAACTCCTTATTCTATAAATTGCCACAGTATCTAGGCTGAACAAGGCATCTCTCCAAAACAAATGAGTTCCAAAAAGCCAGTTCAAGCACTAGGGATAAATCCTGATCCCACTGCCAGTGGCCCCACAAACTGCCCAAGCCACACAATTGTCACCCACATTCAGAGGGTTCCTCCTCAGGATCCCCAGCTGTCAGTCCAGAGTCTGTGAGCTCCCACTAGTTCAGGTCAGCTGTTTCTCTGGGTTTCTCCATCATTGTCTCGACCCCTTTTCTCATTATTATTGCTCCTCCCTCTGTTCAAACAGACTCCAAGAGTTTGGCCCCGTGCTTAGGTGTGGATCTCTGCATCTGCTTCCATCAGTCACTAAATGAAGGTTCTGTGATGGCAATTAAGGTAGTCATCATCTGATTATAGGGCAAGGCCAGTTCAGAAACCCTCTCCACTATTGCTTAGAGTCTCAGTGAATTTGATTATTTTTAAATTCTGTGTGTGTGTGTGTGTGTGTGTGTGTGTGCACACGTGCACGCAGTAGAGTAGGTAGGTACCAGCAGAGGCTAGCTTTGTGGGTGCCAGGAACCAAACTCTAGGCCTGAGCAAGGGTACCTAACATGTTTAACCACTGAGTCATCTCTCCAACCCCAAGCTGTCTCATCATAGCCAGTACACCTGTCCAACATCCATTTTTCCTTTGGGTCCCATCACCCTGGTTTTGCTGGGGAGCCACTTTCTTAGGACTGTAGCTCATCTGCTCACTATACCTGATTTAGGAGCAGTGGGAGCACAAGCCTCAGGCCTCGGCCAAGAGAGCAACATGTCCCAGGGCACAGGGGTGCTTCAAGGTGGGTCCCAGAACCAAATTTACCACCACCTCAGGCAAAAAGGGAAACTGTCCGCTACACCACTGTACTGGCTGGACAGAATCTAGAGCTGTGGATGGTCAGAGCTCCACCTGAACATCCTACAAAGTCCCGGGGGGTGTGGATCTCAAAGATAGAGGGGCAGCGGTGGTGCAAGACTATAATGGCATACCTAGCTGCTTGGGAGACTTAGACAGGATTACAAACTCAAGACCTCCTTGAGCCATATAGCAAGATCCCGTCTCAATTCATAAGAACACAGAAAAGATGAAGGGAAAGATGCTGCTGCTATTTCTTGAGCACTATATCTGGTCATTCTGAAGCTTGAGCTTTTAAAAACCTTTACCCCTATAGGGGCGGGTATGTAGGGGTGTGTAGTGTACATCTGGGGGCTCAAGGACAGCTGTGGGAGCCAGTTCTCTATGTGGATCGTAGAGGGTAATGGGCTTAGTGTGTCTGGCTGACTCGGCAACAAACACTCTTTGCCTTCTGAGCCGTCTCAGAGGCCTAGAACCTGAAGATTTGAAGCCCTGATTCCAGCAGGTCTTTCTGAAGGTGGCTTCCTGCCAGCTCTCGGTCATGGAAGAAGTATGCAAATCATTGCTAACGCTGTTTTAAACTGGGTCTCTGTCCCTTGCAACTGAGCAAGCTATTTAATAAAATACTAGCCCTAATGGGACCATTACCTTATTCACAGTTCCAGGGGCAGCCAGCCACACACTTCCAGCCAGAGCAGCTCGCTCCGGCACTGTCACCACCTGCACAAGCTGGGCTAGGCTGGTCAGCTGACTTTCAGACTCTGTGGCAAGAGCTAGGCGCCTGTCAGCCAGCGGTTTGTCCCCTGAAGTCAGGGTGGAGGCCTGAATGACTGCACCCTGGGCCACATGAAATCCCAGTTCAGCTCCTGCCACTGCTGATGCTTTGACCATAGCTGTTCAACTGTGGCTCTGAAGCTGCAAGCCACCCATCTGGTGCTTCAGGAGGGGTGGGACAGACACCTGCGGGATCTGCAGATGGCTGCTGAGCTGAGCATCCTCAGGCATCTGAAGGAGTGATGACATTCAGAACCGCTCTGATCCCTGTGCCTTTCTCTGCACCAACCCGGCTGGCTGTACCTGAAACCATTTCTCTGCTTTGACGGAAGAATGAGGAAAAGAGGCGTTTTGCCCAGATCTGAAGGCTCGAAGGTCTCTGCACTGACTCAAAGAAACGGGGTTGCTGACCCCTGGGGTGTTTTACAGATGTTTAGGTAACGCCTGCACAGTGAGGGGCACCCAGGCCAGTGCCTGGCACATCACCAGGGCTCCACAGATCTCTCTTCCAAAAGCAAAGCCGTGGTTGGAAGAGAAACGGTAATGTATCACGTGTCCAGCCCTTGGCACAATGCTTGGCTCAGAGTACAGGAGAGAAAAAAAGGGAAGAAGGTGGAACTGAGGGAAGAGAAGGCGAAGAGAGAGGACAAGAGGGGGAAGGATAAAGTACAGAGAAAGAAAAGAAGATGGCCCTGTTAGCCACAAGTTTCCCTAGACCAAGGAGCCCAGCCAGGGTCCAGAGACGCTGCGCAGTGAAAGGCAAGGACAACATGTATCATGACTTCCCAGTCAATCCAGGGAAAATAGACTATCAGTCAAGGCTTTCCTGGCTAGGGGGCTTCTGAAGGGAGGGTCTGGGCCTTTCCTGCTGCCCAGTGACCGTGGAACCCACCTCCGCACCCACTCAGTTCTCAGCTTCCCTGTCTCCTCCGCTGCATCCAAAGGCAGGCTGGTCTGTTAACCTTTCCCACACCTAGGAATGGAACTCCAAGGTGAGGAGAATGTAGTGTTGCTCAAGGTGGTTGCATTCCCAGTCCAGCACCCTGAAGGAAACCTGTCTGCTGCCCAGCCTCCCAGCAGGTATGCCTCAACAGGTGTTCTTCATGCCTGGGCTAGTTTCTCATGCTCCAGGGATGTCACATGCTTCACCTAGGGCCAGCCTCCAGGGAGGAAGCAGGGCCCTTTGTCCAGCAAGTCCTCGGACCACGGGAACCCCCCCCCCCCCGTCACCAAGAAAAGAGAACAGTTGAGTTCTCAAAGGTTGTGCCTCATGCCTCAAGGTTCATCAATCCATGAACTAGCCACCCCGTCGGTTTTATCCACCAATCAACCATTTGCCTTACCCAACTGACAAGATTGGCCTCTTTAAATCCTCTCCACCAAGACAGAGCCATCAGCCTCTGTCCATTGTCACGTCAACCCTCAACAGGAGAGCTGAAGCTCAACCCTATTTGTTTTTTTTTTTAAAGAGACATTTCACACGGACAGTTCATTTATTAAAATAGTTTCTGTAAACTCTTTCAGAAGAATATACATTTTCCTTGCTTGAGTAGCGTTTCAAGGCACCATAAGATGATGGTCTCTTTAAGAACACCCCTCTATTCATGTCTGAGAATTCCATTAGAAAAAAAATACACATACACAGACACACACATACACACACAAAAGAACCCGTACGTGATCTCAGCCACCAAGAAAACAGACACACGGTACAGGGCCTGTTGTGGCAGAATGATTAACAACGTGGGGATGCATCTTACCATCGATGTCCCAAAGGAAAAGAGAGGTGGACTGAGTATTTGTCACTGAAAAGAACCGGCGGGGCAGAGGAGAGCTACACCTCAGAACCGAAAGTCCGAGTAAACGTGGCACCGGGCGTCTCTCCTCCAGTTTCTCTTGCTCTTCACTTTTTCTCCTCCTCCTCGCTCAGGGCGGAATTCTCCTGTAGCGGGGACGTCATCTTGTTCTGCAGAAGGGCCGCCAACTTTTTGGAAGTCTTTTTGAGAAACGTGCTACCTGGGTGGGCACTGTTCACGTGCAGATACAGGTCCTCCTGGGTGGGGCCCGTGTAGCCGCAATCCTCACACACATAGAGTTTGTCCCGACGCTGCTTGTAGGCGTACTGCTGCTGCACGCCGTGAATCTTCTTCAGGTGGGACTCCAAGGAGCACCGCTGGGTGAAGGCCTTGTAACACACATCACATTTGTAGGGGCGGATGCCTGCAAGGATGAGGGGCAGACACATCACCAGCTGGTCAGAGCCGAGCCCAAGCGACCCTCCTATAAAGCCATTAAAGTTTCCCATGACCAAGATCATTGCCAATGTGAAGAAAGTGGGCCAGAACCATCTGCAAGGGTCCTGGCACCGACGACACGAACAAACCTAACACAAGTGGGTGCCAATAAAGCAGAACCCAACACTTGACACGGGGAGAATTATATTTTTCCTACTCATCCGCCTTAATGGTTTCTCTTTTGGTGGCAAGGCAAATTATGTAAATGATTTAATTTTTGTCTTTTTCTTAAGATTTATTTATGTATTTTATGTATATGAGTGCTCCACTTGCATGTATGCCCGCATGGCATCAGATCCCACCATACATGGTTGTGAGCCACCTTGCAGTTGCTGGGAATTGAACTCAGGACCTCTGGAAGAGCATTGAGTCATCTCTCCAGCCCCCACGATGTTTTCATTTTATGCACGGTGGGTTTTCCTGGAAACAGACCCTGAGACAAAGATCCTAGGTTAAGTTTATTGGAGAGGTCATCCCGGGAAGCACAGCAACGGAGAAAGACACGAAAGGGAGGAAGCCAAGCAGGGTGCATTGTGCAGAACGTCACCGGAGACGGTGCAGAGTACATTTACATGGTACAGAGCACTGTAGGTGAAATGAGCTAGCGGGAGGTGACTGGGGTGACAGACAGCTTAGCTGGTAAAGCGCTTGCTTTGTAAGCAAGCCCAAGATCTGAGCTCCATCCCTAGAACCTGTATTTACAAAGCAAGAGATGGGTGTGGCGGCTGACAGGTTCAAAGGAACTCCGTTTGATTAATGTTAAAACTCTGACCTTTAGAAGAAGTCTTAATATAACAATAACATAGTGGGAGGGAAAGAAATCTGAAACATTTCTCATTTGCTCGGAACTCGTAGTCATGCGAAGCGCAAATGCCATTCGTTTACAATGGCGTACACCTTCAATCCCAGCACTGAGAAGCAGAAGCAAGCATCTGTGAGTTCAAGGCCAGTCTGAGCTACTATGAAACCCTGTCTGTGGTTTCTAGAAATCCATGCATGATGGGTGAATCCCTGGCACTGACTGGCCAGCCAGCCTAGCTTCACTGGCAAGTTCCAAGCCAAGTGAGAGACCCTTTCTCAGAAAAGGGGGCTGTGGAAGGTAGGCGCACAGCGATTGGCTAAAGTAGTTAGCCACCAACGCTGACTACCTGTTTGGACACCAGAACTCACATGGCAGAAGGAAAGAACTGGTCCCATAAATTGTCCTGTGACCTCCAAATATACATGGTGGCCAGCGGGGGGGGGGGGGGGGGGGGGGGGAACGGAGGGAGGGAGGGAGGGAGGGAGGGAGGGAGGAAGGGAGGGAGAGAGGGAGGGAGGGAGGGAGGGAGGGAGGGAGGGAGGGAGAGAGGGAGGGAGTCTTGGCCTACCTCTGGCCACCACATGTTTGTGCTCACACATAAATTATCTCGGTTTTGTTTTTCAAACAGTGTGTTGTTTTGCTTTTCAAACGAAATGGTGTATGCAGTGGTGGCCTGCAACCCCAGTTAGTTCGTGGGGCTGCCCCGGCTACTCTATAAGGGAGATCCCATCAGACAGGGGTAGCGGGACATTTAAATCTAAAATTAAAATCAGGTTTAGAAGCCAGTGCCTATCTCAGTACTGGAGAGGTGGAAACAGAAGGATCTGGAGTTCAAGGCCAACCCAGGTCACATGACTAAATAAGCCAGGTCTCAATAATAAACAAACAAACAAACAAACAAACATTTTTACAAAAATCTGTAAAGGCCTTCCTCATCTCATACCCGTCTCTTTTAGTCCAGTCAAGAGCTTCTAACAATTATTCAAGCTTTATACAAAATTAGGAATACACAGGTACAGGTACATATTACTATATCTATTTTAAAATGTATTTAATGGCTCTGCACATGGTCTGAACAAGGACTTCTCAGTTTCCTAGGAGACTCTACAGCCAAGATTGAGCGAGTAGGTTCACAAACTTCTACAATTCTCTTCAAACCCAGCTAGGGCTGGGTTTAGTCTGAGGTAAAAGGGGTGCTTGGGGCAGCACAGCAGAAGTCCTCACCAACCACCAGAAAGAATATGCTAGGCCAGTGGGGCGCTGCAAGCCTCTCATGCTAGCACTTGGGAGGTTGAGGCAGAAGGACTAACACAGCCTGACGTCAGCCTGGGCTACATAGTGAGAAGCTGTCTCAAAGACCAAACAAAAAGCAGACTCCCGGTTCTCATTGGGGCAGAGCCGAGAAATCTGTCCTTTGTTCTTGTGGCTGATAGGGCTTCCCCTTGTCACCCCAGTTGGCCTGGAACTCACACAGGTCCACTTGCCTCTGCCTCCTGAGGGCTGGGACTAAAGGAGTGCGCCACCACCGCCTGGCTCATTACGATCTTTTCAAGCACTGGAGAGATGGCTCAGTAGCTTAGAGAACTGACTGTTCATCCAGAGGCCCCAGGTTCGGGTCCCACATCACAGGATATCTGACACCCACTCCTGGCCTCCATGAGACCAGGCCTGTGCTGTGCACTACACAGACACAGTGCAGACAACACACCCCCTCCAAAAAACACCACACACACACACACACACACACACACACACACAAATAAATGATCGTTCCACACACAAATAAAACTGCTTTGATCCTATTCACACCCAACACTATTAGCCACTTTTCATCCTTCCCCATTGCTTTCCTCTCTTTCTACTTAGAAAAAAAGAAGCCAGTCAGTGGTGACTCAGGAGGCAGAGGCAGGCAGATCTCTGAGTTTGAGGCCAGCTTGGTTCTACACAGAGTGAGTTCCAGGACAGCCAGGTCTACACAGAGAAACCCCATCTCGAAAAACCAGAAACAAAACAAAACCAAACAAAAAAAACGAACAAGTCAGATTCCACATAAGAGAGAAAACAGCAACATCTGTCCTTTGGAGTCACTCATTTCTCTTCACACGGGGATTCCCAGTTCTAGCTTCCTGCAGATGACGGTAATTTCGCTCTTTTTTTTAAAAGGCTATAATACTCCATTGCATATATATATA